CGGTGCTTGGAGAAAACGTTGAGTAAGAATGTATTGTAAACGTTGAGTAAGATCGCAGCTAGTAATATTTACCAGCCTCCCCACGAGATAGGATGTGGCACAAAGCCGAATTTAATGTGGGGTAACTGAGTCCGTAGAACCGGTCAAAAATTCCCTGTAGACCCCACATAAAAGGGATCGGGTCGGTCTACCTTCCCGAACGAGACCAATAGGAATATATACTTGAAAAACAAGGTGGACAAAATAAGTAAAAGTTTATTGTAAAAAAACAAAACAAACAAACCCCAGTACAATAAGAATAAAGGTAACAGTTATGCACAAGGTCATCGCAAGTCAATCCAGTAGTGAGTGCTACTATTGGAATGTCGGTAGCTCTCGCGTAAGTCTGAGTCGTACTCGACAGATCCCAGCTAGTAATAATTGCCAACCTCCCCACGGGGTAGGATGTAACACAAGTCCGAATTTAATGTGGGGCTATACATGCCCGTAGGCTCGGCCAAAATTTCCCCATAAACCCCGCATAAACGGGGTTCAGGTCTGTCAACTTCCCCGGGCGAGACTCTGTCCTTCGGCATAGCCTCGTCTGGGTTCCTCTCTCTCCGAAGGCAGAGAGTTCGACAACAGCTAAGAGCTGGGTAACAGATCGCAGCAAGTAATATTTACCAGCCTCTCCACGAGATAGGATGTGGCACAATGCCGAATTTAATGTGGGGTAACCGAGCCCGTAGGATCGGCCAAAAATTCCCTGTAAACCCCGCATAAAAGGGATCGGGTCGGTCTACCTTCCTGAACGAGACTCTGCCTTTCGACAGAGTCTCGTTCCTTTCTGCTCAAAGGCAGAGTGTTCGACCGTTTAGCTGAAAAGATTCCAGCTAGTCAATATTTACTAGCACCCCCACGAGGGTAGATGCGGTAAAAGGTCGAGTTTAATGTGGGTCTTCCGAGCCCATAGGCTCGGCCAAAAATATTCCCTTTCGAACCCGTATAAACGGGTTCAGGGGCAGTCTACCGCCCCGAACGAGACTCTGCCCTTCGGCGGAGCCTCGTCCGGGTTCCTCTGCCCGAAAACAGAGAGTTCGACTGTTTAGCTGGAACAGGTCGATGCTAGTCTCTGTAGTCCGTTGACTTACAGATACTTATAGTTAGTTTCTAGTGTAGTCACTCATGGGGGTGACAAGTTATTCCATTACATCAGAAAAACAAAGAAAACATACACTTGGCAATGCCAATATTTATTTTACGTAGGAGGAATTATTTTTCTGGCTATAACCCCTTACTCTCAGACAAAACATTGCAGACCCCTCCCTAGTGGATCGCTATTTCAATTGAAAATATTCAAAGGAGCTACATTCCTTCTTTCGGGATGTTGGCTTTCCACATTACCTGCAACAAAAGGTTAGAATGGTAACCGCCAAATTCTAGAGACAATACATACAAGTTATGAAATTCTAAGATCATTTATATGGCACCAATGGTACTGAAAGCCAAACAAGCCATGTGCACAGTAAAATCAGACCAATTCCCTGTGTATTCCATTAGATACGTTGAAGCACCAATACCCGTACAACCACTGAAGTTAAGCAACATTGAGCCTGCTCAGTAGCTAGATGGGTGACCTCTTGGGAATAGCAGGCGCTGTAAAATTGAGTGGACATGTGGTATGTCTTACGGTTTTATCGCTTTGATACAACTATTCTTGTACGATCATGAAGTTAAGCAACGTCGGGCCTGCTCAGTACTTAGATGGGTAACGAGTATCCAGTCACTGTAAGCTGGGATATGCGATTGGTATGTTTCGTGTTGATACAACTATTCTGTGTGGTATGTCTCACGGACATACCGCGTTGATATACGATCACCGAAGTTAAGCAACGTCGAGCCTAGTCAGTATCTGGGGGTGGGGTGAACACTTGGGGATATCAGGCGTTGTAAGCTTGGCTGCACGTGTGGTATGGCTTGGAACCATATCGCGTTGATACACTGGAACTTCTACGATCACCGAAGTTAAGCAACGTCGAGCATAGTCAGTACCACTTGGGAATACCAGGCGATGTAAGCTTGGAATTGCATGCACTATGACTTACGGTCATATCTTGTGATAAACCGGTTCTCGTATGATCATCCAAGTTAAGCAACGTCGAGCCTGGTCAGTAACCTAGATGGCACGGAATTGTTAATTAGAGACCCGAGTTCTAATTTCAATTGGGTTCGTTATGTTCACTTTCGCGCAAGTACCTCTGGGAAAAGTATGAATCCACCTCTTCTCCCTCCAGCCATGGGCTAATCAGTAAGACTCGTATCTCTAAATCATTATTATCTCCAAAAAATAATATTCCTACAATCTAAATAATATTTTCTGGTTTTAAATAATCTGCAAAGGGTTGATAGCCCGTAAAAAAAAACAAATCATTCAATCAATAAAAAAGGAACATTAATGCAAAGGAAGTTCCATTTGAACAGATTCTTTTCAGGAAACACTACTTTATGAAACCGACTCCCAAGGGGATATTTTCCCGACGACTACCTTCTTAATCTCTTCAAGTCTATGGTTAAGCGTTATCTTTCCTGTATATGCTCATAAAACGCCCCTCTTATACTAACCATTCATGCAACAATTTTCTTCAGTAACTCTCTATCTTGAGAGGCTCTTGGGCCTGTTTGACATTAGTAAAAGAATTCCTAAATTTATTCTCACTCTTTCTGTTTTGATTATAAATCTGTTAATATGCCTTTTTGAAATACTGTTTTATGCACCGTATCCCTTCACTATATTGATGGTAACCGCTCTCCACAACTTCCGGTCCTTTGAAGCTCTAATCAATATTTGTCGTTTTACTATGCTTCCAGGTTATTCAGTGTTTCCCTTGACCCTCTTGCCTTCTTTATATTCTTCTTTCTTTTTCTTTCTTCTTCTTTCTTCTTTTTCATCTTCTTTTTCCTCTTCCTTTTTTTTCCTTCTTTTTCTCCTTCGTCTTTATATTCTTTCTTCTTCTTCATCTTTTTTCATCTTTCTTCCATCCTTTTTATGTTGTCCTTTTTTCTTCTTTTTCATCTTCTTTATTCGTCTTTCTTTTTTTCCTTCTTTATATTCTTTCTTTTTTTTTCATCTTCTTTTATCCTGTTTTTCTTCTTTATTCTTCTTCTTCTTCTTTTTCGTCTTTCTTCTTTTTCATCGTCTTTTTTTCCTCTTTTTTCTGTTTCCTTCTCTTTCTTCTTCGTCTTTTTCGTTTTTCTTCTTCTTTTTCTTCTTCTTTTTTCATCTTTCTTCTTTTCCTTCTTTATATTCTTCTTTCTTTTTCTTCTTCTTCCTCTTCGTTTATCCCTTTTTTTTCTTTCTTCTTCTTTCTTCTTTTTCGTCTTTCTCCTTCTTTCTTCTTTTTCATCTTCTTTTTTCCTCTTTGTTCTTCTTCTTTTTCCTTTTTTTCTTCTTCGTCTTCATATTCTTTCTTCTTCTTCATCTATTTTCGTCTTTCTTCTTCCCTCTTTTTATGTTCTTCTTCTTCTTCTTTTTCATCTTCTTTTTTCCTCTTTCTTCTTCTTCTTTTTCCTTTTTTTCTTCTTCGTCTTCATATTCTTTCTTCTTCTTCATCTTTTTCCGTCTTTCTTCTTCCCTCTTTTTATGTTCTTCTTCTTCTTCTTTTTCATCTTCTTTTTTCCTCTTTCTTCTTCTTCTTTTTCCTTTTTTTCTTCTTCGTCTTCATATTCTTTCTTCTTTTTCATCTTTTTCCGTCATTCTTCTTCCCTCTTTTTATCTTCTTCTTTTTCATCTTCTTTTTTCCTCTTTCTTCTTCTTTTTCCTTTTTTTCTTCTTCCTCATCATATTCTTTCTTCTTCTTCATCTTTTTCCGTCTTTCTTCTTCCCTCTTTTTATGTTCTTCTTCTTCTTCTTTTTCATCTTCTTTCTTCTTCTTTTTCCTTTTTTCTTCTTCGTCTTCATATTCTTTCTTCCTCTTCATCTTTTTCCGTCTTTCTTCTTCCCTCTTTTTATGTTCTTCTTCTTTCTTCTTTTTCATCTTCTTTTTTCCTCTTTCTTCTTCTTTTTCCTTTTTTTCTTCTTCGTCTTCATATTCTTTCTTCTTCTTCATCTTTTTTCGCCTTTCTTCTTCCCTCTTTTTATGTTCTTCTTCTTCTTCTTTCTTCTTTTTCATCTTTTTTCCTCTTTCTTCTTCCTCTTTTTCCTTTTTTTCTTCTTCGTCTTCATATTCTTTCTTCTTCTTCATCTTTTTCCGTCTTTCTTCTTCCCTCTTTTTATGTTCTTCTTCTTCTTCTTTCTTCTTTTTCATCTTCTTTTTTCCTCTTTCTTCTTCTTCTTTTTCCTTTTTTTCTTCTTCGTCTTTTATATTCTTTCTTCTTCTTCATCTTTTTCGTCTTTCTTTTCTTCTTTTCTTTTTTCCTTTTCTTCTTCTTCTTCTTCTTCTTTTCATCTTTTTTTTATCTTTCTTCTTCTTCTTTTTTTTTTTTTCTTCGTCTTCATATTCTTTTTTTCTTCTTCATCTTTTTCCGTCTTTCTTCTTCCCTCTTTTTTTTCTTCTTCTTCTTCTTTCTTCTTTTTCATCTTCTTTTTCCTCTTTCTTTTTCTTCTTCTTCTTTTTTATGTTTTTTCTTCTTCGTCTTCATATTCTTTCTTCTTCTTCATCTTTTTCCGTCTTTCTTCTTCCCTCTTTTATGTTTTTTCTTCTTCTTCTTCTTCTTCTTTTTCATCTTCTTTTTTCCTCTTTCTTCTTCTTCTTTTTCCTTTTTTCTTCTTCGTCTTCATATTCTTTCTTCTTCTTCATCTTTTTCCGTCTTTCTTCTTCCCTCTTTTTATGTTCCTCTTCTTCTTCTTTCTTCTTTTTCATCTTCTTTTTTCCTCTTTCTTCTTCTTCTTTTTCCTTTTTTTCTTCTTCGTCTTTATATTCTTTCTTCTTTTTCGTCTTTTTTCGTTTTTCTTCTTCCTTCTCCTCTTTATTTTTTTTTCTTCTTCTTTCTTTTTTCATCTACTTCCTTATTCTTCTTTCTTTGTCTTCTTTGCGCCGTGTACCTTTAGGACGTTGGCGATCATGGCTCTCCACTATTTCCTGTCCTTCGTAGCTCTTAGTAACGTTTGCCTTTTTGCCATAGATTCTGTTCCGCCATCCATTTACACAAGCACTGTTTTCCACTATAGCACTTGCCTTCTATATGTCCTGTGAGTGTCAAATTTTCCAAGCCCTCTTTCCTCATTATTCTACTTGCTCTTTCTGATGTTAAGTGTAATTGTCCGTGTAAGGAACACTTGTAGTTAGAATCAGAGAGCGTGAAAATTCAGATAAAGAAGAAGAAGAAGAAAAAGAAGAAGAATATGAAGAAGAAGAAAAGAGAAAAAAGAAGAAGACGTAAGGAAACATGTGGAAGAAAGAAGATGGTGAAATGAAGAAGATGAAAGAAGAAGGAGACGAAGAAGAAATATGTAGAAGAAGAGGAAGAAAAGTAAAAGGAGGAGGGGGAGGAGAAGAAGAAGAAGAAGAAAAAAGATTAAGAAGAAAAAAGACTATAAAGAAGAGGAGGAGAAAAGAAGAAAGAAGAATCTAATGAAGAAGGAAAGAGAAGAAGAAAAAGAAGAAAGAGGAAGACTGAAGAAGAAAGATGATAAAATACGAAGAAAAATATGAAAAGAAGAAGAAAGAAGAAAAGGAAGAAGAAAGATGCAGAAGAAGATGAAGAAAGAAGAAAGAAGGAAATACAGAAGAATATGACGATGATGATGATGATGAAGAAAGAATATAAAGAAAAAGAAGAAATAAAAAGGAGGAGGCAAAAGAAGATGATGAGATGAAGAAGAAGATAAAAGAAGGAAGAAAGAGGAGACGAAGAAGAAAGATGTAGAAGAAGAAGAAGAAAAAGAAAGAAGAAGGAGGAGAAGAAAAAAGATGAAGAAGAAATAAGAATATCAAGAAGCCGAAGACAGAAGAAGAAAGAATGTAAAGAAGAAGAAAGAAGATGAAAAAGAAGAAAAAAGAAAAAAGAAGAAGAAGAAGAAGAAGAAGAAGAAGATGAAGAAGAAAGATGGTAAAGAAAAAGATTATGAAGAAGAAAAAAGATGACGACGAAGAAGAAGTTGTTTAAATACTAAACGTAAGTTCTATGCTAACTTCGCTTGTGAAACTTACTTCCGGCTTCTTGCATCCCAGTCAACTTCGATCTTCAAAAACTTAAATGCAATATCAATCGTCATCTTCTGTCTTCTTGGATCCTGTTCTTTTGTTGTTCTCTCTCCATGATAATATTTTTCTCAGACTCTTTGCGTCTTAGTGGCTTTCTTGCCTTGCTTGAGGGTGAAATGATAAAAAAATCAGAAGGATTGAAATTGCATAGCAGGTCAGAAATCATCTCTTTTCCTGTTTCTTTTTTCTCAAACTCTTTGCGTCTTAGTGGCTTTCTTGCCTTGCTTGAGGGTGAAATGATAAAATATCAGATGGATTAAAATTGCATAGCAGGTCAGAAATCGTCTCTTTTCCTGTTTCTAAATAATTTGTCAGTCTTTTGGAAGAAATTTGTTGCTCTTCCAAATGGTAGTAATTAAGATCGTGTATTAACAGATAGGAGTCGGAGTAACTCGTGGATTCACGACAATACATCTGGCCAGTGTGAACACAGAATGACCTTCAATCCAGTTCACAAGGGAAGAAGAAAAGTTCGTAAGAGCCTTTTCCATGGAAGGTGCGAGAGAGCAGCGAGCGTCTTGTTACCCTTCGTCTGTGATAAAGAGATTGCAGGAAGTAGAATAGTTTTAGGCCTGATCTTGATTTTTGCATTGATTTCTCAAAGTATCAAGGATGTAGAATCTTTGCAATCACCTGAGCAAGCAGCGAACCAAGTAGATCTCTGTTGCAACCTCCCCTGAACCATGTCTAAAACAAGATACCATGTGGCGACCCAAACAAATTCCAACCGGTTTTCAGACGTTTTTTTTTACAGTGAAGTTCAATGTATACAAGGCCTGAAGGCCACTCGAGGTAGAGGGTTACAGGGTTTGAAGCGCATTTTATGCGGATAGGTGGAAAGATAATAGTTTACTCTAAACTTGAACTGGTTATGATTGTAGAGACCGGGAAAACATCCTCTTGGAAGTCGGTTCCACATACTGAATTGCGGGAAGAAGCTGCCCGAATGGGAATTATTTCTCACCAATGGACTACGGAGGGAGTACGCTACAATATGCGCGGCACGGTCGGTCTTAGGCGCGAAGGTTAAAGCTAGCGGAACCCAGGAATGCATTGCGTAACAGCCTTTTCCATGGAAGGGGCGAGTGAGCAGCGAGAGTCATGCTACACTCCATCTGTGATAGAGAGGTTTGTCACCCACAAGGACACAGAGACGCTTCTGGACTCTATCGAGACTGGAAAGTGCGGACTGAGCAGCTGCTGCCCAAATATGACAGAGATACTCCGTTTTAGGCCTGATCTTGATCTTTCATTGCTTTCTCAAATGTTTGATGGACGTAGACTCCTTGTTGCAATCACTCGAGCAAACCAGTGAACCAGGTAGGTCTCTATTGCAACGTGAGAATATTCCACGACCTCGCCTGAACCATCCCAGTTGAAATCACTCAATAATACATCCATCAAAAGAGTTAAGGACTTCAAATATCTTGGATTTCACATAATAGATTCCCTAAAAGACTTCAACATCTGCAAAGCTTTTACATTGGATGCGTGTAACAAACTTCACAGGATTTGGCGCTTGAACCTTCCAGCCTCTTTAGAAGTCCAAACCTTTCGAACACTGATTAAACCAATCCTATTCTATGGATCAGAAGCTTGGACATTATCTGTTCATCTTTATGGAACATAAACAAATTTGCGCAGAGAATTCAAGAATATCAGGCAATTCTATGCAGCACTTAACATAATTTACGGAGAATTGAGACCAGTCTCTCTCTTAAGCTCAAACAAAAGCAATTTGACGGCCACTGTCATCGAGCAGACAAGGCGGTCGCCTCCTCTTTACTTCTATGGCTTCCGAGTTTTACCTTGACTTCCCACTGAGCCAGGTATTGACACAAAGTCGTCTTTTAAAAACCCCTAATCCATTTTTTTGCCATTCCCTTTCAGACTAAGTGAATGCCGTTTAGAAGACCAAACACTAAAAGTAACCAGCCACTGGTCTGTCAAACAAACACTTGAGATCGAAATAAAAAAAAGACCATTTTCCTTTCTACATGTGTATACATTGTATCACACAAGGAAGCGTTTAATAATCTGAATTTGGAGTCGTTTTTTATTATCGTTAAACTCAATCGAAGGACAAGTTGGCCAGAGCGAAAAGTGACCGGTTAGAAAATGTATTTATTTTTTCGTGATTGGTTAGTAAAATAATAAAACGGAATTTGATTGGTTAGAAAATGTATCTTTTTTTTTGTTAAGCTGAGCTCTGTTTGGATAGTAAAGTAATAAAGCTCTTAAAGTTCAAACCTTTCGAACATTGATTAAACCAGTCCTACTGTATGGATCAGAAACTTGGACATTATCTGTTCGTCTTCAAAGACGACTGGATGAAACATCTACAAATCTACTTAGAAAAATCTAGAACATCAGTTGGAGATCCCATGCAACGCTTAACACAATTTACGGAGAATTGAGACCAATTTCTCTTAAGCTCAAACAAAAACTATTATAGTTTGCCGGCCACTGCCACCGAGTGGATGGGGAGGTCGTCTCATCTTTACTTCTATGGCATCCGTCTAGAAGAGTCTTCTCATGAAAATTGACTTTCCCTGACAACGGGACTCAGGGTTGGATCTTGGGACAGCAATGCAGGACTGAACAGTGTGGAAAGGGATTGTCAATGGCGTTCCGATCATCCACAGGGAGGTCTAGGGATGGTCATAGGTAGAGGATAACACGAGGAGTCAGGTACTTACTAGAGCGGTAGAGGCTTTGTTCCATTCGATGAACTACTGCGCCGACCAAACGTCAGAGATTACTAAAACTTCCAAAAAGAACCGATCGATATTCCATAAAATATCGTAAACTCTAGACTTTTACTTATTTCTGGATAAAAAAAAAAGAAGCTTTCGTAGGTTTTGGAAAGGCTAAATGCGGAAAGGTTAAATTCAGAAAGAATGAATATAGCAGACGATACTGGGTTATGGATGAACATTTTTACTATATATATATATGTATATATATATATAATATAAATTTATATATATAAAGATAAAGAAGATAAAAAAGAACACAAAGAAGAAATATATATATATATATATATATTATTAACGTAAGCAGTGATATTTTTAATTTTATCATTTCTTGGTTAATACTAAACACACACACACACATATATTTATTATTATATGAATAATAATAATATATATATATATATATATACATTATAAATTTTCTAATTTAAAATATGATCCAATTTATAATATGTATATATTCTGTAAGTTTTTCATTGAGCACTCTTTTGTAAAAATAAAAATATTAATAAGTACACCGGATTATATACCTTACTGTTCTTTTCTCTTTATATATATATATATATATATATATATATATATATATATATATATATATATATATATATATATATAAATTTTATTATATATATATATATATATATTATTATATAAATTTTATTATATGTATATATATATATATATTATTATAAATTTTATTATATATATATATATATATATATATATAATAAAAAAGTACACTGTACTCCATGGTCATAATTCATTACATTGGTATCGTAAATACGATTCATCATCAGACCTACAAATTCAAAACGTTTTTTGAATTTGTAGGTCTGATCTTGGGATTATTTTTTTATAAATATATTTTTATTTTACACACACACACACACACACACACACACACACACACACACACACACACAGATATATATATATATGTGTGTGTGTGTATATATGTATATATTTTTATATTTTAGATATATATATATATATGTATGTGTATATATATATCATCTCTCCCTATATATATATATATATATATATATATATATATATATATAT